CTTGATAGTCCGAGGACATTGGTCCAAAAAATCATGATATTTTCATAATTATTTTTTTTATCAAGGGTTCATTGGTACGAAGGTTCTATAGTGAACATTCGGACCAATGAACTTTCAGGCTATTGACCCTTCGGACTATTGCTATGGCCCCCACAAAAAACGAAGACTATAAAGCTGCACTAGTTACTGGTCAGGAGTCACTAGATTGGGGCGCTTCACGGATCAAGCTGAATAGAACGTACGTTTCACATACCTCACAAAATAAAAAGTGACGTTCACAAGTAATGAAAATACCCAATGGGGCCCCTCATGCAAAATACTGGAGAAAAAAAGCATGTGCTTGCCAGCAGCAGACACATGCCTTGGTGCTAACGATAAATTTAATTGCCAGTGTGCTAAAGTAACTCCAAATGCTGCATATCAAATTGACAACAGAGCATGCATGTTTTTCTGAAATCTTAAAATAGATAACAAGAACTTAAGAAACTANCGCATGTATGCCTACATTAATTCTCTCTCTCTCTCTCTCTTCCAAGTTATATAATACCATTATGACAAATGAATTACATAATCACTCCATGAGAAAAAAATGAGGAAAATAAATAATAATGGAAGCCACTTAAAACAATAAAACAAAGAATAATAAAATAAATAATAAGACACACACAAAAAAAAGACAAAATACTCCTTTTGGAAAAAATAATAAAAAAACTAATTAATATCAGTACATGTGAAATTACATTTCATCAATTTTTAATTGACTTCTGAAGTTTAACAATACCCGAAATTAACCAGAGAAATGATAATTGAAAAGGCCACACAATAATCTGGACATTGTCATAAAACAAGATATATCATCAGCCAATTGATCAATGTCACAGGCTGGGAGGTCATTACAAAGTCAGGTATGGTGGGAGAGGGAGGGGGGGGGGGGTCTCTCTTTCCTTGACAAGATGGTGGATGCAATGTCCAACCTTTATATTGATAGAAGAGCAAAATAAAAAAATAATAATTTGATTAATTTTCAAAAATTGGCAAAATGCATAAATCACATTTCCTAACCCAAAATTCTGGACCTGTCAGTAATAGGTTACATTAATGAAGTATCTTAAAATCAAATCTGCATCACTTGAATGTCATCATTTCAGATCCAAAATTCTTACCAAGTAATCGTACAAAATCTGGCTAGATCTTTATAGAGTTTATTGGTTAATCCTAATATAATAGGTAAATAAAGACAAATTTAAATGTTTGGTCTATTATAGATATAAAATACAGGGGCGGATTTAGGGCGTCTTCTGGGTCTTCCGGAAAACGGTCAGATTTTCAAGTTTACATTGACGGGTATCTAATTTTTTCTGTCGGAAGACAGTCAAAAATGGAGGGCAGATCAACAAAGATAAATTGGAAGACTGTCAAAAAATAACTCTGGATCCGCCCCTGAAATAATACTTTTGTATTTCGTAATGATTGATAATGACAGTAGTGTGATGAGTGTCAAATCTGTTTAACAAAGTTTAGAAACAATTAAATTATACAACTAACAATACAAGGCTTAGACGATATCTATGTGAATATTTCAGATTGTGCAGTCCAATTTTACTGTCCAATTAACGTAAAAAGTATAAAAACAAAAGTTCTGTATTCTTGATATTTTTATAAATAAGGTGAAAATCACATCTGAAACTGAGCTTGTAATAAAAATCAAAATATCTAAAACACACATGCTTTATCTTTTTTCTCTATTTCTGACAATTTACAAATAATGAACCTTAAATATGATTTATTTAAACACATTGTTTTTAGGGAAAACAAAAACTAATTGTTCCAAAAATTAATTAACAACAAAATCTGTCAATAGGTTTACACAAAATTAAATCATGATTTGAATTTGTTGTAAATTGTGCATGCTTTTTTTTTTTTTTTTTTTTTTTTGGGGGGGGGGGGGGTAGGGGGGGCTATCTTTCAAAAAGTAATATACGGCTTGTTTAAAGCATCCCTTTGTTTTTCACTTATGCTCATTGGGTGTCTTTCTTCCTTTGTTCGGAGCAGTAGCACACTAGCGAAGCGTCACCTTGGGGCTCTTCCACCAGTAAACTGCATTAGTGACATTTTATAATTCATCTTTGACATTCAGTCTAATACATAAAGTATTGCGATTGCACATCATACCCAATTGCAAAATTACTCATTTCAGTTTTGTGACTATAAAATCTCATCACTTTACAGTGCAACCCTGGATATCTAGAGCCTCTTCTGTATGCGGAGGTTGGTTTAATAACATAATGAACTTTTGACCTGGCCTTGTCTTGATTTGGATAATGAAATAATACATGAAATCAATGCATTTCAGTCAACAATCATCAGGGTTAATTACCTTCAATTCTGATGATACCTTGTCATTAAAGTTTGTCTTAACTATAATGTTGCACTATCTTTTTCTACTATAAAGATGCATATATGTAATTCAAGCATGATGTTAACTGAATAAATACATATATTTGTTAGCTTCTTTTAGCCTCTTCATTTAAAATTGAAAAGCACATACAGATAGACAAAACAAAAACACATACAGAATACTAAGAGAAAGAAGTCAAGAGAATACTAAAAGGTACCTTGTGTACGACCCCCTCCCCCCATATTTAATAAATTTTCCTTGATATTTTTTTCTGACTCTTTGTTCTCATCCTGTCCTAACACTCGCCATAACTCTGTTACAATCTGGGAATATTAAAATCTTAAAGATATGCTCAGGTTGCGGTTTTACAAATTTTTGCCATAACTTTGAGCACCAACTTCTGGGTTGTGTGCCAATCAAAACTTTAACTATGTCAAGTTGATTGACAGTTGGCGAGGTTAAATTTATGGCATTTATCTGCTAAAATTATTAAAAATTATTTTTTGTTCTCAGAAACCTTCAACAAGTCCCTCATGCAAAATACTGGAGAAAAAAAGCATGTGCTTGCCAGCAGCAGACACATGCCTTGGTGCTAACGATAAATTTAATTGCCAGTGTGCTAAAGTAACTTCAAATGCTGCATATCAAATTGACAACAGAGCATGCATGTTTTTCCCAAACCTTAAAATAGATAACAAGAACTTAAGAAACTAAAAAAAATATATATATATAAATATTCAAATAGCTGTTACAATGCACAGAATAAACATTAGTAGGTGAGTGTTGATGTGTAATCCGTTTGTGAGTAAATTAAGGAGTAAATTAAGGAGTGTCTTCTGCGAAAATTATGGACATATTTTGTAGGGACTGTCATGAGAAACTTGAAGCGCAAATCGATTGTAGACTGCATAAAGTGCCAAAGTAATAAGTCTGAGAAGCCATGTTGAATACGAATCAAAATACTCACCTTACTCTGTCTTCACTGAAAGGGCTTCAAACTTTGGGATAGTCTCAGAAGACAACTCAATAGATCTGCAGGATGGTCGGGAACCCTGAAGCTTGAAATATTATGCTTTATTATTAAAATTCACATTAATTTTTTAGGTTCTCCCGGCCTTTAATTTGCCCGATTTACCATATACCCAAGCCCTGTCCCATCATGCAGTGCGAACACTTAGATCAACTGAGATTCTTTATAGCCTAACCTATTGGACTGCTTTTTGGGCCCTTCCTATGACATATATGATCAATAAAAGCAAATTATATTTCCATTAAATAAAGTAATGTGTAATATTCATCAAACAAAATCTAGTCTAGACGAGGCTGTAAAAACTGTGGTAAGATTATGACGTAACAGAAGCGGCATCTGAGGTCAAAGGTAAAACTAGGTCACCAAACCACAACAAACCTTGTAATAAGGTAAGGGATGTCTTTTGAGGTAATATTTACAAATATGAGGACGCCTTAACACAACTACATAGCCTGAAAAGTTATTTTTACCGGGACTTTTTCACAAGATCTAATTTTGTTGGCTTGGAAAATGCACTGGTGCAAAACTCGAGAAAAGGCTATGATTTCCAAGTTTTTGTCTTTTCCAAATTTTTACTCGATTCGATATAAATGCATCTAGTACAATTACAAATAATCTTTTAAATAATCAGGGTTGATTTTTATATTTGCCTGTTTGTTAAATAGAAAAAGAAAAGAAAGAAAAGAAAGAAAATAAGAAAAATCTAACGAAAGCGATTGCTTCCAAAAATTGCGCTTATCAACTACTGAGCGCCATAGCGTTATTTCGGCATTGTTTCCATGTTCTTGTTTTCTTTCTTTCTATCTTTGTTTACCACTACTTCTATTATTATTATTATTATTATTATTATTATTATTATTATTATTATTGACAATTCAGCATGTGAAATGCACCTCTATATTGGGTTTGGGTGTATAAAAGTCGTTGAGACTGATGGATACGGACAAACAGGTTGATGGACGAACAAAAGATTAATAATAATAATAATAATAATAATAATAATAATAATAATAATAATAAATTCAAAGTTGTATTCAACTTTTTTAAACTATATGTTCACAGAACAAAAATCCACGACTGTCTCAATTTTAAATTAATTTTTAATTTTTACCATATCTTTACATTATGTAAGGAGCCTAAATGATAACGTATGTTCCGGTTAACGTATGTTCCGGGTCTTTTAATTTTTATTTTTATATTGCGTTCCGATATATTTTGTAGTGATTTAGTCAGGGTATATTATGATTTGGGGATTCTGATGCCAGGTTGATTGGATGAAATCATAGTATTAAATGGGAGCCAAAGCACAACCCTTCCTTGCATAGCTAGGTTTTACGTCTTTAATTGTCCAAACCACTCCTCAAAATAAAATCTCTCTCTCTCTCTCTCTAATATAGTTTCTCAGTTTGTAAAATTTTATTTCTTTTTCTCCTTCTCTTCAGTCTAAATACTATGGGCAATCCAAAACTGTTAAAACACGATCACTGGGTGGAATATTGCGTTTTCGCACCTAATACAATGGGATTGGCCGTCTGCAGTGCAAACTACATTTATTTATGGGATCTGAAAGACATGTCGCAGGCAAACTGTAAGCACATCTTGGAACATGAAGACAACGTTTGGAAGTGTTGCTATAACAACAGTGGGACAAAGCTGTGCAGCGTCACCAGCTCGGGATTATTGTATATTTGGAGCGTCCGTGTGAAAACCCCATCCCATTCCATCGTTGAGGCGCACGCGTCAAAATGTATTCAGGTAAAACTAATATTAGGTGCAGAGGCAGGAGTTAAATTGACACCAAGTAGTCTTAATTTTAACAAAAGAAATGAACCTTTATTTCTTTTGGTGATTTTCCGTCCGTACATTTTAGTCTTACGTACCTTATTATAAGAAAATACACGTATTCCAGTTGTATATTCGTTTCTTTGAGAATGTATATATTTTATCATTAAGATGGAATTATACAACTGTGCTACATGAAAATATAAGCACAAGTATAGGCTAGCAGAATATTTTCCTATAAATTCTAAGTTATCTTTCCTCAGGGTCTGGACGTGTCTCGACACTTGGACGTCATCGCCACGGCCGCAACAGACCAACTAGTCAAGATATTCAATTTCGATGGCCGACAACTTCTGGAATTCAAGGGACATGGGAACGTGATAGAGCACGTTGCCTTCTCTAACACAAGACTCAACTGGATCGCGAGTTGTTCCAAAGACAGAACCGTCAAACTGTGGAACGTTGGGGACCAGTTGCGCCGCGTTAACGTGCGCAGGGATCACAGGTACTTGTAGATATGGCACATTACACTGCGTTGTCCGGGTTTCCTTCCCTCGTTAATTTTTTTAACGTTCATATGTATGAATTGTATTAATTTAGAAGAGGTAGTAGTTAATGTTGTGGTATTACTAGTAACCGTTTTTTTTTTTGCACGACTGCATTTTTTGGACAATAACCTTTTAATTTTATATTTTTGTTAAATTTATGCATTTATTTGCTTTGATGTTCAGAAACTCTTTATCTGAGTCGTATTTCACATAAAATAAGTTTTTGAAATCTTTATTTAATAATTCAGTTTCAATATCATCTTCAGATCTAGGATTCCTATAAAGAAAAACCTCTTTGGCGTAGTTGAGAAATACTTTCCCCCTCCATTGCGTACTCTTCGAGGTCATAATCACTGGGTATTCCACTGTGTCTTCTCACCGGACGACACCCTTCTAGCGTCCGCCTCCAGCGACCAGGAGGTGAGACTCTGGGACCCTCGTGAAGGGGATCTCCTCTGGGTACTCACTGGGCACACGGGAATCGTATGGTCCTGCAGCTTCCTCAGCCGCCACGCCCCCATCATCGATGTCGTCGATTCAGACTCTCCGACCAACGACAGAGCACTGGTCATAAATGCTTCCTACGAGCCTTCTGAGCAGGACGTTGCCTTGGTAACTTGTTCTAGCGATCGCAGACTTAGGTACGCATATGCGATGAATACAAAAAAAAAAAAAAAAAAAAGAATCTCATTTATATGCACCTATGACATTGAGCGAAACGGAATGTTTATTTTATGAATCAAGATGAAAGCTAAATCTTTCCACATTGGGACAACGCCACTATAATGCTGTTGATGTTGTGAATCGGAAACAATGAAGTCTAACAATTGCATGGGTCTTCCTCTTTTTAATATTTCCATTCTATTCCTATTTAGCATACATATCTTTATTTCCTTTTTCTTTTCTTTTTTTCACCTTTTTTTAAATACGTATCTACCTTTCGTTTCTCTTGTTATATCTCTTACTCCATCCTCTCTCTTTCTTTCTTTCTCTTGCCTTCTATCCTTTCTCCTATCTACTTTCTAGGTTTTGGAGCTTGTGCACTGGTCAGATTCTTAGTGAAGTGAAGGATCCTACTAGAGAATTCGACGGCAGAGGGCAGCTCCTGACACTGGCTGTCAATAAAGATGCTTCTTACGTTGCAGTTGGATCATTTGGCGGGAACGTCACCGTCTTGGAAACGTCAAATTTTGTAACACTGAGAGCGTCTTAGGATTCAAGACTGAAATGTCCTGTTGCACAATTATCTTTTGATTTTGTTTATATATAGAACATATCTTTTTTAGTCCATGAATACTTCTGTGCGCATTTGATTTGGCTTTTCTTATTTTCTTTTCTTTATTCTATCATTAACTCAATATACTTATGAAAGACACGCAAAGGAAAGGTACTTGTAGAAGAAAAAAAAGAGCTGTGATATTTTTGCATTTATATATTTTTAAAACAAGAATAGAAAAAAATTATCATATTTCATTTTCAAGTCTATCTACACATAAACTGCTAAATGAAAAGCCATACTTCTGTAAGCAGTAAAATATATTTGAATATAAAACTATTAATCGTATACTCGTCTTTAGCGTTTTGAGTAAAAACTGAAAAGAAACATGGTTTATAGGAATCTGTGTCTATTGCATGAAAACAGAGTTCCCAGGCCAACGACAGGCATATTGGAGAAAGCCCATAGAAAAATTGCTCGCAATATGGCTAAGACAAAAATAAGCTCAATATACAGTGCAAGGGATACCGATTTTTATTATTAAACATTTCTAAAAAGACGAACATGTCGACTGGAGGCACTTAGCAAGGTCTACTCGGAACAATATATACATACATAGGCTACACCGCGGCATTACCCTCTACCAGGGCGACAGATTGATTTTCCACAGATATGTCTCTAGGTAAATAGACGGCCATTTTGGTCTGTTGACAGCAAAATAACATAATAGGACCAGTGAAAATGGTGCGATACAGAAATTGGTAGGCTACCGCTCGCTCGATTGCGAAAAGGACCCCTAAGGACCTCTCAAATTGGACCTACCAATTAAGTCAATTAACCACTGAGAAACGATGTCCCTTAAGTGTTGGATACTGGGAAAGGCGATAGCAAAATTGTTAAAGTAAGAAAAAAAAGTTGAAGAAATTTCAGGTCATTGTGAAACGACATTGCATGCCGTCATTGCGGATCATTTGCGCAATTCACTTTGCCGCACCTAAAGTCCGTGTATACAGCGCCATCTATTATCGGCAAGAATAATTGCTACGTTTCTTTTCAGAATTTGCCACACATTTAATTGGTTTCTCGAGCAAGTTATTAGAACTATAAATAAACTCATGCACACGAAATCCCCCCCCCCCCCCAAAAAAAAAAAAAAAATCAATGTGTAATCATCTATTTGTCTACTCGTCATGTTTGGGCAATCTATATTGAAATCGAGGCCGCCGTCAATAGAATAAAAAAAAATCCCACCATGGCGGACGTGAGGTCGTATATTTGCTGTTTTCTTCTGGCGTTTGTAGGTGTTGACAGTTATCTTGTTACTGGTAAGTGAATTTTTCTTGAAATGTTAGTATGCTAAGAAGGATTTTGTTTGTGTTTATCTAAATCTGGGAAGTGTTGTGGTGAATTATCGCCTCGACCTTCGAAGAAAGAAGGGGGCCATTTTGTTCTGTCTCTTTATTTATCCACCAGTCAATTGAAATCCCGGACCAGGACCTCCGCGACAGGGCGGGGAATTTAACAACCATGCATTGTTAAAGATCTGCATTTCCCCTGTTTTCCGGGGGAAACATTTCCCCTGTTAAAGCCCCGATACTGAGGTCCCGGTGTTCTGTAGAACTTCGATCTTTATAAATAAAAAAGGTATAAACATGTCCTGTGTGTGTAAACATCAGCATGTATAAGTTAATGCCTGCACTATCGGATTGAAGAGCATTTAATTATAAAAGTCCTGACCCAGTTGTCAGTGCTTTTTAGTCGTCAAGGTGCTCTAGCGAGTAAAAGTATGTCATGCACTGATGTAAGTCTTGCCTTGAACAGGAAATCTTTAGCCTCCTTGTGAAATTAAGGGGTTTATATAATTGTTTATACTGTTCAAAGTTAATTTCCCTGCTAACTGTCATGGCTATCTTAAGGCTTGGGTTAAATTTGGTTAAATTCCTCATCCACCTATGGAATCATGCTGTTAAATCGGCATAAAATCCCCCTCTTGGACGCATTTAATGCCAGTTGAGGAGACAGGTTTTAATTGACTGGTGCATTAGTATCACTTAACTTAAACTTAGAAGGCATCTGTTTACTTTCAGAAGACTGATGAACATTTATTTTTTTAAGTTCAATTGAGAATTCCTTACATGAGCAATTATTGATATGTTTTCTCTCTTTTTCATTTCTCAGGCCAGAAGAAAGCTGAGACAGTATATCAAGTGGACCAGTGTGGTAAAACCATCAACTTCAACAACAGTATAATCCTTAAGCTTAAAGGCTCAGGAGGAAATGCCATGAGTGACAGGTATAAAATAAAAAAAAAACTTTCCCAGAGATAATATTTTTTCTATTCAAAATAGTGATATGATATTTTTGATAGTTTTTTTCCTTTGATCATTCTCAGAGAGAGTTACTGGACATAAAAAATTGAAAGAAACAGGTAGTGGAAATTCAGTAAGTTGGCATTTTTATGTTTTACCATCAATTACAGTTGAAATTGATTACATATGAGATTATTATAAACATTATGTTTTTCCCCCTAGGATAACCTGTTTAGTTCATCTCCGTAGTCAGGAGCCTGGTGTGAAACTCCTGGTGCACTGGGAACTGCCATTTGACATGGCCATCGACCTTCAGTTTCCTCTCTCCTTCGATGTCTCCAATTATCAGAGTAAACGCAGAGGTTCCGATGGGTAAGTTTTGTCATACAACAGAGGCAAGTCTTCAAGAGAGTGAAGACACCCCCCCCCCCCCCCCCCCAAACTTCTGGCTCCAGTTTCACAAAAAAATTTGTCAGTTTTCTGGCTTAGTTGACTAGGATTTCCATGAGAGTGCTGTTACACTGCTCCTGATAGGGTAAGATGTGCCCATGTAACCTTGGTAATTAAGTTCTTAGGCAGGGGACCTGACTTAAGTTATTTTTGCGTGTGAAACTGGGGCCTGGACTCTTTGTCTAGATGCAAGTTAGGCTGACTATAAAATAAAGAAGATCAGTTTTGTTATCGCGTCACTTGCTAAGATTTTATAAGTGAAGACAATTGTTGAAAAGCTGCAAAGCCACAGAATATTTCTACATTTTATTGTGATATTTTTAGCCTGGCAGTCAGAAGTGGCCGGTCGGGATCTCCTACGTCATATGGCCGCATATATGGTGTGAAGAAGGAAGTGACTGGCTACGACATGAGCAGTGATGCCATTGTGACCTCCATCAAAGAGCTGTACCCAATGTTTGGAAGTCGACTGACGGACAGGACAATATCAGAGTCAGGGGTCACATTTGACTATAAAGGGATACCGGAGAAGGATGAGTTCCATGCTGTTATTACAGCTTTCCGAGGTGAGGCCATCATATAGCACCTAATTTATTGGTTACCAACAGTTTGTAGAATTACCCCTGCCTCCTGCTCCCAACATTTTTTGATACAGTTGGACAAATTTGGAAATCATAAACATTCAATCTTTCCAATTTGGAATGCCTGAAAACGTAAGGAAAGCCTACTGATTCAGAAGTCCAAAGCAAGATTTTCTAAAGATTGGGAGTATTTTTGTTGTTGTTGTGAAGAGAAACTTTTTATGTGTCATTTTTCTTTAATCTTTCCTTAGATGACGTGGCAGCTGGAGATTGCACCGCAGCCAACAAGAGGTTCCTGTGTGAGGGCACTAACATGTGTATATCCACTGAACTGGTGTGTAATGGCCAGAATAACTGTAAGGGAAACAATACCAGCGATGAGCCAAGTAGCTTTTCCCAGTGTGCACGACTGCTTGGACGAAGTAAGACTCGTTTTCCATTTCACTTGCTATTTCATTTCTCTAGTGGGTTTAATATTAATTTAGGGTTTTTTTTTTTTTTTATTAGAATATATTAGTGTTCATTTCAGGGCTTTTCCCAGGATTTGGGATACAGGGAGTTCAGTATGTGAATCTGTCATTTGTTCATAAATGAACAGTGAGTCCTATCCAAACGCTATGAGAAAGACCTTGATTCAATCTGTAACTTATTTCTTTATTTATTTTAAAGAGATTGTGTGATTCATGTTTCCAATATTTATTGTCAAATAGGATTCCTTTTGAGAAGAAATATATCCCAAAACTTATTTTCCTTATAGGGTGTGAAGCTGACTGTCTGAATGGTGGAACTTGTGAGTTCAATTGGAAAGGGGAAGCCACATGTAAATGCAGTATTGAGTACTCTGGAAGTAGATGCCAGAATGTTGGTAAGCAACCAGAGAGCATGTAAAAGGGTTTCCGTGGTAACAACATTGGGCTTGAAGGTGATACAGGAATGTCTGGAAATACTACCATTACCTGCATTTTCACATTTTTTATCAATTGATTTGTATTGAGGTTCATATCATTGACTTTCTGATGTTAACATATAAAACAGACAGTTTAAAAGGAGAGAAAACTAAGTCACTCCAGCATTAGTCCAAGTTGTCATATATCTAAAATCGTCATGACCAACCAGGTAGTTAGTAAATTATGAACGAACTTTAAATTGTTGATAATTAGCCAGATCCCCAGGAAAAGAAAAATTTGTTTATGCTTAAAACACGATTTTTTTTCGAACCTGTTTTTTTCTGTTGCTATGCTGTTTTATGCTGATCATCGTGTATTATACACTTGGTTTATGTTAGTCCCAGGTCTGTACATTTGACGGCCTTTGTTGCATAGTGTTATTTAAATTTGTGTTTCAGGTTGTCCCTCTGATTTCTGTGTTAATGGAGGGAGGTGTGAGAAGGACTGGCAGGGGAAATACACCTGCAGGGATTGTAGCCCTGGTTACACTGGGAGAAAATGTGATACTGCCATCACACCAACCAGCAAACCAGCATCAGGTGTGTAATAACTCCCACTTCTTGGGCAGTTAGGAAAGCACTTGCTTACCAATGATTGGAAATGTTCCATTCCAACAATTGATCATAAAAAGAGAACTGTTGTGGATGAAAGAAATTGCATGTTTTGTGGATGTAGAAAATACCATTTCTTGTTTGATATATTGGAGAACCATTGGGGATTGTGTTTCAGCCGTGCAGACACCAGCTTGATTGCAACATTTTGTGCTTAACAAGTCAATACATCAATAAAGACCAGTAGTATTCCACCTAAGGATCATCATCTTTACTCAATTTCTTTTACACCAGCATCTAGAGCACCAACAAAGATTTTCGACTGCTCTCTGAGCAGTGTTGGGTATATCCACGTAGCCCATTGGTGTCCATGGGAATGGAAGCTAATTATGAAGTGTGTGCGTGACATTTGTCATCAGTTATGGTAAATTTACTGTTGTTTTGTAGACCACCCATGTGACCCTAATCCTTGCTACAATGGAGGTTCCTGTGAAACCACGTTCTATGGTATGGACTACAGTTGTGTGTGCACAGAGGGTTATACTGGGAAACAATGTGACGAGGTTGAAGAGGATATCCACAGCAGTGATCACTCCAGTAAGTGGATCTTGCTGCTAAGCTCAAACTGGCAATTATATATGCCTCTTAGATAAATCCTTTGGCAATTTTTTTTTTCTGTGTGTGAGAGTGTTCCAGCAGTTTAACAATGCGCCAAAGTAGTTTTGTATAGTTGAAGAAAAATAAAAATGCTGGCATTTACATTATGTCTTCAGTGCATGTCTGAATGATGCTTTGCTATTTAATCACACTCGGTTTCTTTGAAAAAGGTGGACATTTTGTATCAACATGGAAAAATTGTACATGCTTGGATTTTTTTTTTTTCAGGGGTAGAACTTTTGTCTCTGTCTAAACATAACTAAACTAAACTTAGACACCATGTAAAAGAGGTTCAGGCAGTAATCGTATGTGTCGAGTTGAACCCTACGATTGTACAATTTATAAGACAAAATTAGTGTTAATGTGTCCCTTACAGATGACATGATATCCCTTCAAAATGACAGTCATAGACAATTTTAAGAGTTCTTGCAATGCACTTTCTGATTGAATATTTATATTTCAGGTTCTGGAGACAATAATCCTATCACAGTTGTAGTGGTGGTGCCCACTGTTTTGATCATGGTCGCAATTATCGGTGCCGCATTTTTCCTAAAGTATCAACGACAACGCCGACGCCAGCGCACCCTGCAGTTGTATTCTGTCAACAGCTCAGATCAGAGACCACTGGGTCAGCCAGACGACCAGTACCCTGCATTCACCCCACCTCCTGGATCCCAGTATCCAACCCAGGGGTATCCCCATACTTACCCACCTCCCGCCTATGACGTGGCCACTGCTTAAAATGACAATTATCTATCACAAGTGGATGATCAGCAGTTTAAAGACATTTTGCATTATAGATGATATTTCAAATACTCTATTTTTTTTTAGACATTCCTATTATTTTTTATTTTATTTTATTTATTTTTTATTTATTATTATTATTTATTATTTTTATTTTATTTATTTATTTATTTATTTTAATGTACTTGCGTCAGTTTGTTTTCCTTATTTTGGATAGATTACGTTATCATGGTGCTGGTTTAGTTTATATTGTTCAGATAATTAGCGTGAAGATGCTTACTGAATGAATACAGATCAAAACATTTCAGATATCATATTGTATGCATTTCTTAAGCATGCATACAATGTCAGGTAGCTTGGGATATTTAAAATCCTCTTTGTAAACTTAAAATCTTGTGCCATGTTGACCTCTTGTCAGTTACAAGATATATGATGGATCCATTTATTTGATTTACATACCTGTTTCCATGGAAATATTAACAACACACCAGTTGCCGTGGTTTTGATAAATTGTATTTTGCTTATACCAATTCTGAATCCTTGGACAGTTATATTTTTTTTATTTTTATGTTCATATGATAACATATTTATTTATTTATTTATAATGAGAACAGGGTAAAGATTGCAATTGCATATTTTCAGTGAGGTGATGAATCATTATTATTATATATTACATGTGTGAAAATTCACTGAACTTTCAAGATAATTGTCTAAAAATAGATCCATAATAATTTAGTGAAATTTCAGCTTTTACCACTTTTTGATATTGCATAGTTTCTGAAAACTGAGGCAAAAGTTGGTGCATTTTTTCTCCATCTGATATAATTGCCCATATCATGTATTCAAATGTTATCATGGTATATCTGTATGAGAAAGCAAGCTGACAAACGCACACACCGACATGCTTTAAGAGAATTGGTTTACTTAAAGGCCATTTCCAATTTGTACGTACATACAGTGGTGGGCTGTCTGTGTATAGTTTCTGGAGCTACTGCATTTTGGACTTGCTTTTAAGCTTTTGCTGCCTTTGCTTTTCCTTGTTTAGAATCAGTATTTTTATATGATGTGCAGGAACTAATCTCCAGTAATCTTTGAGGATAAGAAGTTGGAGAGATGAAGATTGATGTCGATGTATATATTAAACTTAATTTCTGTTATTACTGTTTAAAATAGAGAGATACCTCTTAATATTATCATGTCCATTATATGGGTGATTGTTGCATATCGTCTTTGTTGCCATCATTTATGGTCATTAAAAGTAGGCCAGTTGCTTGCCTTGCAGTTTCAACAAAATATTTTTTCTATTTAGCCTGATCAATATAGAACTTTTTCTATTAGGAGCAAGTGAATTGAAAGTAATATGTAGTGATCTTATACGATGGTTGTGTTGGATTGGTGATAGATATTCAAGAGACGGATATGTTATGGTATTTATTTTCTAAAGGAGAAGTACCCTGTCTGTATATATGTAACCAGTAATTTGTTTCAAGTCTAGAACACACGGTGATCTCCGAGCTCAGCGATTGCCGTTTTGTCCCGGGGAATGACGGGAGAAAGTCAAGTGAATGAAGCGCACGAAGTAAAAGGTCTGAAGTAAAAAAAAAAAAAACTTAAAACGTTATAGTCGAAAATATTAGTCAACTTTAGACCAGATAAACCAGTTTTGGCACATTTGACTAACGCAGGCCCATGATCTTAGAAACGTGGACGCTGGGAATAGATGTCATCCGCCTACTCTGTTTGTAAAGCCTGCAAATTTAAGTATCTGTAACTAATACCTATTCGACAACGTTTTCTGGCAGTAAACCTGACTTACGAACTTGGACTCTTTTTTTTTTTCTTCATGTGTAAGAAGAATGTTGATATTCTAATTTGACAAATGTATTTATCACGGAAATAAAACATTTTACTCGGCACATTGTATTTTTAGGGGCCATTAAACATAAACGTGTACCATATTGTTGGTGTCGGTGACATGAAAACAAAACCTATATTAACATGGGTATAATTTTCACAGGTTGTGTGTAAAATGTACCAAAGGCGTTGACACTGGTACAGTAACAACTTTTTCATGATCAAATTTTACCTGTTGCACGACCCACGAGAGACGTGCCAAGATAACAAAATATCATGCTTTTTAAAACCGACTATTTTCAAGCGATTCCTTTTCTCAATTTAACCAGAGAATTATATCGTAGTCTACGCAGTGGGAAACAAAGTCAAGTAATCGTTGTTTGAGTTGATTCGTCATTTGAATAAGAGCTCAATAAGAGACTATATAAACAGACATGGCTTTGATATGAAAAACGTGGCGACATAATCTATGATATGTATAATTTTGGGAAACTTGTACTGCTTTAGATGATTTCCAAAAACGGGGTCATGATTATATATACTTTGGTTTAGGGGCCATTCAGATTCTCATATACTAGCTGGGTAAGTCCAACCCTGCATGGGATTCTTGTGAATTGAGTCGATTCAGGCAATTGAGTCGATTCCACTGATTGCACTTTAGCAGGAATCCCCTGCAGAGTTGGACCGACCAAGCTAGTACGATGTACGAATCTGAATGTTTGGACCGATCAGCAATATTAAACACAGATTCCAACAAACTTTGCACTCTGACACATATATGAAAAAAATCTATTTAATTCTGGGATATAAAAAACAGGTGTAACAGGAATGGAAGTCCTAGGAATGGAATTTCGGGCTCCCATATGATAAGTACAGCTTAGGATTAGTTGGAGTATTAGGGTTAGTGTATGGGACGAATCTCACCTGTACAAAGTAATGGGAAATGGACTACGGTTCCAAGCGAACTTGCATTCCTTTTACACTGGCTGTCACACGAGACCAGTGACTGAGCTGATAGTTCTCTGTGTGCGTTGGGCCACGCGGCACGCGGGTGTGACCACAACTCATGCCTTGATTTCCACCTCAGTCAACACACTAGTCGCCCAACTGACCACCGTCACTCCTCGCGTGGTCATCGAGCTGGCGTGGTCTGGAGTTGACCATCAAAAGGACCGGTGGCTACTGGGGAAGGCTGCCTAGGCTGTGGGCCAGTATGTTGTGCTTATTGGTACTTCTGTGCACTTTTTGTCACCTCTTAAGCGGCTCTGTCGGTAAGTAAGATATATGTTCCAATATATCAAAATACCAAGAAGGCTATAATGTAAAGAATAATTGGGATCTTCGTTTGTTTGCACCACGCCCAATCAACCCATATCAAATCTTTGGCAATGAAAATTCTTGAGCTTATAAGAAGAAATGCAAAGCTAAAAAGAAGAAATATTTTCGTTCGTTTTGTTGGGAAGTTGCTTTTGATATTTTACATTCTATAGGTTGGATTGATAAATCTCATAATAAAGTAGCAGTTGCCATCCACAGCCTGGGCGACACTTTAAATCACATTATACGAGATGACTATCTATTCTGCAAGACTGGATGTCTCTTCTGTTTCAGTCAACTTGCCCGAGTCCAGTCCTAGCGCTGGTTACTATGGCTACGCCAGTAGGATTGGAGCGGGCGCCGACGTATTGCTTGACGTAGTCAGCGGTAAGACGTCGAACAGGATCGACAGCGTTAACGCCGGTTCCTTCGTACGACTACGGGCAACCCTAAAGCGCACGAGAGGTACTTTGTTGTTTTCATTGAAAGGCGGGTCTTCACACTGCAGTCACCACCATAAAAATTAATTAATTAATTAATTAATTAATTAATTAATGTAACTGCAACGCGTGGAGTAGTGACAAGTGGGAGTAGTCAGTGAGATGTGTTCGTGTCACATGACACTCATTTATAAATTTGAGATCTCGCCCTTAGATTTCAGTTTCAGCAACACGGGTCTCCCGGGATCATATAGTTTTATGTTTTCATTAGTTTTCATTAGTTTTTATCAGTTTCAGTTTGAAATCAACTTCATTTAGTTTCTGTTAACATTTATTTATGCAGTAAAAACACTTTATATAATCCAAGACAGTTTCCGAGTTGTAAACGGTACGGTCACGGCAACAATTAATTAATTAAAACAGAGATCGCATACCTCCGCCAAGGCAGCTCATTTTTTATTGCAAATTAATCTATTAACCTCTACCAAAGTCTAATTGATTCAAAGATAGCCGATTTTGGACATATCCTTTTAATCCCATCACTATACATCCATAAATTCAAATCATCAAAGTAAAAGTACTAGTCAAGGTAATAATGTCTATTCTAACACAATTTATGTCACCAGACAATACGCACATTGCACACAACCTTCCGAGCAAACAACATTCTTCCGACATCGGTTTCATTCACAATTCTCGACAGTGTTTCTTGTTGCTCTAGGACACCAAGGTCTCCGCATGACAAACTGCACTGCCTACGAATCAAGGGAAAAAATGAGGAGAGTTTCTATAACGGACCTAGACGGGTTTGGATATCTTCTTTAAATCTGTCTATCCCGCTGAAGAGCTTTGACTGCTGAATATAATCTTTCCTTGCTATTTCTTTCGATTGTCTTGTGCTTGATGTAGTATTTTTGCAAACAAGTTGTGTTAAGTGACAGTAAAAGTTGATTTTGTTTGTATTAAGATTGATTCTTTTATTTGCTACCAACCAATATTCTGTTTTGCTGTTTTAGTTGTGGCTTGGGACAGTTGTTTAAGCTGGACGAAGGCTTCGAGGCTTCTCCTCCAACTGAGACATACTTCACAGCGTATTCCCCAGTTTTCCAAATGATAAAGTTCTCCAGTTTCGAGTCGCTGTATTTTGAGTGTGAATTCCTCACGTGCGCCAGCAGACATCCGAATAACACGTGTGAAATGGTAAGATACAGGTATACATTTAACCTACAGAGCCCACCCCTACACCGCCTACTCGCTCTCAAACAGCCAAACATGTACAACGATGAGTAAAAAAAATTGTTTCGGTGATTAAGTTCTGTGACGTAACTGTAATTCTGATTTCAGCCTCACTGCAACAAGATACTACATGCGAGAAGCACACCTAGTCCATAAATATGACAGCAGATCCTGTGATTATTAATTCAAACCAACCAAGAAAACCACCGTGAAATCAAACTGGACTACAACCGCAATTACTCAAATATACATCAATTCGGAATATTATTCTGGGAGATATATGAAGTGAGAAGAAACCTTCCCTTCTCATAACAACCCTGTGTTTCTACAGAAAGGATAGGTATTAAAAACTCGAGGCGAGGGGAGACACCGATATCAGTTGAATACTTCGGGCTACTAGGAGCTATTTATATTTCACATAATCAATCTATATCAGATAAAAATCTATTTGTAGCACAAACCATATATTTATATATCTTATATCATTTAATAAACAAAATTATACAAATCAGCAATATCCACTGACTTCTCAAGCAATAAATAAATAAATAAATAAATAAATAAATAAATAAATAAAACTGAATTGTTTGCCCAGCCGAGTGAATATTTCACTTGCCATCCTTGGCAACCGTAGTCCGCACCCCCCCCCCCCCCCCATTACTTTGTACAGGTGACATTCGTCAAATATACAAACCCCAATACTCCGACCATTAAATAGATTTTAGAAATGAAAACAGGAAAATATGATATATATATAAAACAAATTTATATCAAAACGTACACAGTTTGACATCCAGCCGTTTCAAAAAATGGCATATCCATATCAATAAACTTCCCAACATAATACAAACAAGTTATATAAGACAATTAGGCTTGTTCTGTTCAAAATTTGACATAAAAAACACTGGCGAATGAAAACAACACAATGGTCCAGCTATTAAAAATTCTACTTCAATATACAACATAATAATGGTCATTACTCTTAATCTATTAACATTTTCACATTAAAATAACATTTTTACATTTTGTGCCTTTATACCACCTGCCAATTCTGTTAAAAAACACTCCATACCGTACACACATTGAAACCCGTGTTAAACAGCGACTCATATAAATTCAGTGTTAAGTTTGAGCGATCATAAAACGGGTAGAGATAAATATGAGTGCCCTACGTGTTTGCCACCTCCAACAGAGTTTTAAAAAAGAAATGTCATGTGGAATCATGGTCTTCACAAGGTCCTCATGAGCGTGAAATAAAAAGGGTGCATAGTTTCCAGGTCTGAAGTTAATATATCAAGGACTACAATTAACGACAGGTACATATGACTTTCATTCTAAGTTTTCTTATCACACGCTGGGTTGAGAAGATTCACTGTCATTTCTTTGAATCTTGTCGTGTAAACTAGGAATCTGTAGGATTAGGAGAGGAGGAAAATTCGTGTGGCTTATTTATTGACAAAATCATCACCCGTGGGAGCTTGGATGTAGTACTGAACAATCAAGGCAAAGAGACACGCCCACGCCACCAGTGGGAGATATTGCACATGAAAACCAGCGCTGCTGGCTGGGGCTTTACCTGAAACAGAAAAAATAGAAACGCTGCATTTTTCTTTCACTATTCTTTAAATATGCAGATGTTTTTTTAGTTCTTTGAGATATAAAGGAACATCATTCCTGTATTACACTGCGAACATTCACTTTTGCCATAAACAGGAGAGACGGACCCTTGCTCAATTTAAAATGACAGCTCATCTGTATTCTCCAAATCATTTTAAAAGTCAGATATCATTTGCTTTCTCCCAAAATTATTAAAATAACTTAAAGACAAACATGTTATCTTCCACAACAGAGACCACAACATCACCCGTTTTTTTCCCCTCAAGTCAGTGCACAGACTCATAAGCTCAGCTTGCAGGTCAGAGTATGCGCGGGACTTACCAAATATAATCAGCTCACTTACATTTCAATTCATCGCTCTTGTTGTCCTCTCCGCCGCAGTTGTTCTCCCCGTTACAGACCAAATCACTCGAGATACAGACTGCGGTGCCATTACAGATAAATTTGCTGGTGTCATTCTTCGCACACATACTGGGATCTGGAAGAAAACGATCATTTTACTATCCGATGCAAAAGAATGTTAAATTCATTTCTTAGTTTAAAAAACCTCAAGGTAAACTGAAATAACGTCAACCTTTTTTTTTTTTTTTTTGCTTGCGTATTTGACCTTAAAATAGTAATTGATTAACTGTAAAATTTGACCTAATAATATTCACCTTTAAAAGCCGTCAGTACGGCCTGAATCTGGTCTATGGTATTGATGCCCACGTAGTCAAATATCAGTGCCTGGCCAGTAGACGTCCAATCCCTTAACCCTTGCTCTGCCTTTTGAAAGTAATGTTTCATTATGTAAATCAAAGTTGCTCTTTTTAAGATGACAATCTGGCCGTTTTAAAAATATGTCGATAACTGATTGAGTTATCAATGCTCTGTGATTTCTAGACGCACACGACTGTGTGTGTGTGTGTGTGTGTGTGTGTGTGTGTGTGTGTGTGTGTGTGAGTTAAAATATAGCCAGCAGAAAATCAAGTGACTGGCCTGTCAATTAATAAGACTAAGGCCGAACAAAATGTTCATTTCATAAATCGCCCTAAAACAAGTGCAGTCCATAAGTAAACCTGCTGGTTGTTTTGTTCAATTGGCAGCTTCTCACAATATAAATTGACATCTTTTTACTTATTATTATTATTATTTTTACCCAAGACAGACCTTAGTGATGTGAAGTCAACTCCAAAAATGATGTTAAGTTAAAAACCAATACATTACCTTTGGCAAGGAAGTCCCTCTATCTTCAGGGTAGACTTCTTGGACACTTAATTCTCTCTCAAAAACAGAGACGTACTCCTTCACAAGCATCTTTAACCCGAACCATCTTCCCTCCGTCAAACTGTTGCCAGTGGAGTTATCAATTACATCCAGCCTAAAAAATGTGTTACTTGCCTTAGGAAATAGCTTATCTTTATATACATTGTCTAACATCAGTCATTTATAATAGTCTTTTTTATTAATCTATTTATTCGTTTATTATCATCATCATTATAATCAGTGCGCGCGCTTAAAAGTCCTACCCAATCAAAAAAAAAAAAAAAAAAAAAAAAATTGTAACTTTTCGTAACTGTCTTCAAGGGTTCTTTACTTCAACCAAGATTAAACTTGGCATTTTATAGGTAATTATCAAGCCTATTCAAAGACTTCTTGAAAAAAAAAGATTAACTAAATAACTTGATCGCCCCTTAACAGATCGCCGCCTTGGGTCTGAAATATTGAAGAACTTTTCTGAAAAATGGGGTTGAAATAGTAAGTACTACAGTAGGCAAACTTTACCCATTCTCATCTAGGCGCCTAACCATCCACGTGCTCAAGCCAAAGGCAAAGGACGAAGGACCATATCTTTTCTTCAGGCCAACTTGGAAAGGAATCACCCAGTGAATTAACAGACGCTCATCCGGGTTCTTGGCTTTGAACGTCACTCTACAGGTCTGCGTTGAGTTGTCACTGCTCCCCCCTTCAGGCTCGTTGAAAAGATGGATACTGTTGTTGACGGTCACTATCTGTCCACAATGATCGGCAAGGGTCATTCTGGGGCCTTTGACTGAAATACGTTTAATACACCCCTTAAATATACAGTATTATACTATACAATATTGAAGCGTGACTGCATGGCGTTTTAACAAGTGTACATGTTCTAGTACACATGTAGGCCTACGTGTAAGATATAGGCCTACATATACCAGTTACAGAGGTGTCAAAAGAAGAAACAATTCATCACCGCAATTTATAGGACAGGGTTAAGTGGACACCTTACGCCTAATTTCATCCACCAGGTGTTTTTTAAGAAAACGATTTTCGTCGAAAAATATAGTCTTGCCATCGATTATGAGGGAGTTTTGCCGACTTTGTTGAGTCTGGGACAAATAGGCCTAAATCGGTTTTATTCGCCCAAGATTGCATTTAAAACAAGGCAGCAAAGCTGTCAATGTATTGAAATATCACATTATGCTTAAAAGCATAAACACCACCAAATTTTAATCATGTACAACTGTTGCACTGTGGACATTCCGAAAATGTAACTGGTGCATGGGAGTTCAGTCTCACCTTGCAAATACCTACGAGTATGAGTGTAAATGCGCGGTTTTAAAGAAGTGTTTTATTATTATTATTATCAAATGGAAAACTCTTTTATTTATTCCATTACACCATGCTCAGGCCCGTAGCCAGGGGGGGTTCAGAGGGTTCGAAAGAACCGCCCCTTTTGCTGGGAAAAGGTCCACTCTGGGTAAAATTCGATCTAGGTACATAAAGTTTTTATGGAAAAAGGTCCACTTTTTCAGAAAAAGACCCCCCCCCTTTTGAAATTGCTGGCTACAGGCCTGATGCTTAACACTATTTTATACCGACACACAGAACTATGACAGAACACACAGCCATGTGTAACGACTGCGAATTCCGTCACCCTAAATGCGATTTTTTAACGGCACAAATCAAAATCCCATTATCATAAACGTCAGTCCAAGACCAAGTTGGTTTAATCACACAACCACGCCATTAAGAAGATACTGATATGGAGTACTCAAATAACCCGGGGTGCTACAAGGTCATAGCAATTTGTGTTCAATATGTTGAAAACAACCTTGGCTACACTTATTTTACGGGCGAAAACGGGTTTTAAATACCTGAAACTAACTGTAGAATATCTTGTTGGGCCAACTAGAACTGGCAATGAAATTACCGACGTCGGTGTCACATTATAAATTAGAGACTTTCATGTATAAGGCAAGTGGGGGAAATGCTGTCTACTAGTATAGTATATGTACCAAGGATTTGTCTGTCCGACCGTCTTTTTATACAGGATTTTCCGAGTCACTCCTACAGTTTCTGAAAACTATTATATTAATATATTTTACAAATTTAACAAAATTTTAAAACTCATTTTTGGAACAATATCATTTGATATGCTCAACCCAGATGGTGGTACACACTCAAAAGGCGTTCATGCTTAAAGAACAGATTCACATTAACCTGACAACGGCATTCAGAGTTATAGTTCCCTGAACTAAACTTTAACTATACCTGACATACGCTCTACGCCCCGAGTATGCCAGCTACCATCAGTGGTGATTCCCAGAATACTCTGGATGTCAATGCGACCCCGCCCCAATTCTTTTACTAGCTAATAGTTTAGTCTTTGTCGGCTGTCTATATGTTCACTTACTTTGGCCACTGCCGCTGTTTATGCACAGCATTAAGAGTAGACCTGTGCACGCCTTTAACACATTCATTGTCCCAGCTCGTAATATACAAAAACCCCGTCTCTCTGTGTGTATCTGCTAACACTTGACTTTTTTTCCAACGAAACGTCCGCTATGCAATGGCTAGTATCTGCTGATTAACTATATAGATAAATGCCTAAAATAGCCAGTACTATCAGGTTCTAGCGTACTTTTGTCTGCGTATGAAAACGAGATTTTGGCCTAATTTCTGCAAAGCGGCGTCTTCATGACTCTGTAGCTAGTCGGGATAGACAAGCGGTTCAGCTGCATAAAATAATGAACACGGCAGAGCAGTTAGAGCGGCAGGCAGATTATCGAGCTGTTATGTAGGCTTTACATTTCGTCTCTGCAGAATCGACTGTCTGTTCCCGGCCCAATACTTGAACAATGAAAGTGACGTCAGTGGTTTGTTTATGAAATAGCAAGACTGCGCAGGCGATTTCTTGCATAACCCAAGTGACGTACACAGTAGCCGGTCACTGACCTATGCATCTATACACATATTCTCAGCTTATATATATATATATATATATATATATATATATATATATATATATATATATATATATATATATATTTATATATATAGGTCCATTTAACACGTTACTTTTTATTTAAACTAAGGGAGAGAAAGAATTGCTTGACCAACTGGAACTTAACTTACATCAGTCTACCAACTTAAAACATTGAAAAAAAATAATTACTTTATGTATCTGTTCTGACGCAAAAAAAAAAGTTAATGGGCCAAAATTTAAACCTTCGTTACTGTCGCTCGCAGCACACTCTTCAATCTAACTAGTTTTATTTTACTAAAGTAGAAGATTTGTAACTTGTCAGATACATTTCCTATAGGCCTACGTCTGACATGCGTGTATGTGGGCATTTATACACAGGTCTATACTTAATTTATAAAACAAGATTCATGTATATCGCTCTAGCAACATGTGTACCGTAGTAATTATAGATAGTTAACGTAAAAAAGAAACACTTCACGGTTTTGTTAATTGCAGTTAAAATTTATTTAGTCCAATAAATAACTCCGAGATACACAGCTTATATAAAACATATAAGATAAATGTTATTAAAATTTATTTGGCAATAAAAGTTAGTCCATATAAATATATCCCAGATACACATCTTACTATAAAACATATACGATGTAAATGTATGTATTACAAAATACACGGAGTTGAGCGCTTTATTCATTCATTTTTGTAAAATGCAAAAAAATTGCAATATAACTAACTGAAATTTTTTATCAAATGCAAGCTGTACTGTTATCAAATATCAAGTTACCGGAGTAGCTTGGCGTCAGTCTAGAGATTTCAGTAAATTGAGGTCAATTAAATAATTTGCAACAGGTTTTGGGCATCCCTTCAAAAAGAATACGTATATCAATATCAAATTCCCCTGCCGTTAGTGTAAGTAATTTCCACTGGATTGTCCCAATGCCTAAACTAAAGTACTCAAGCATTGTCAGCTGGTTCTTAACTTACTTTCAAAAATAAACAAAGGACGTACTTCTTGACAAAACTGGCCATGTAGCAACAGATTGTATGTAAGAGATAATGCCACGGTAATACCTGGGTGGCTCATTCAAATGAAGTATCACCGACATACAGTATAATCCAGATGGTTTTCCTTTTAAGTAATGGTAAATATTCTTCGATCTGTGACATGACCTGCCTTCACCTCATTGCAGACATCTCTCACAGCTACATAGCCATCGTCCTCGTACCTCTTCCCAGTGCAAACTGGGCACAAACTATTGGGCTGCTGCATCGATCTAGTGTTGAAATGATCGTCACTACTCTCCCTAATCTCGTCAGCATAATTGCTGTCGGGGACCTGGACGTTTACTTTCAGACACAACGGAAGGCTCTTTTGGCCAACTTTGCATATACAAAGGTATCGCAACCCTAGATCATAGCGCGTGAAAACTTGCCTATCGACTACTGCATGCACGTGGAGTTCTACAATGCTGCTCTTGGAGAGATCGCTCAACATCTTCTTCATGTGACATGGGTTAACAGCACCGTTGCCTGCCAGACCTAAATACAACAAAGGTGACGTCTTCTCAAGATTGCCAGAATGCAAGAGACTCCCCCAAATATCCCAAACATCTGCATTATTGCGAGAAACATCAAAGCAAACCAGATTTCTAAACCAAGGACAATGTATAGCTTCGCGGACACCAGTCAGAGAGAGTCGGTTCCGCGACAGATCCAGCCAAACGAGGTGATGGCTTTCACGCAGTCCGGACTCTAAGAGACCCACAAGCTCTGCGTCATTCATGCGTATATTTGCCAAGGACAAGTGCGCCAAATTCTCCGTGACCGGACTCTTAAGGCCAGGGACTGCAACTCCCCAGCCTGTCGATTCGGGTTCTTCGTGAACACAAAGTTGCTCCAAAGTAGAAGTGCTTGTTGAACTCATTCTATCAAATGAGGAAATGACTCCAACACTTCGGAGGTATTTCAGAGACAGGACCATCGTCTTAATACCAAGAGGGCAAGGTATGTTGAACGTGCTTCCCATTGTTCCCAGACCCTTTAAATTTGGCGTTAATTTCACATATAATGACTTTAAGTACGGGACCTCTTGCTTAGTTCTGAGCAGTTGGGTCAATCCTGAAAAATGCCTGCGAACAGAACCGTCAATTATCAATATTTTAGGGTTCAAGGCATCATGTGATATCAAACACTGAGTCATTCGTTCCTTCGTGAAAGAAGACTCGGGATTTAAAGTGATCTTCCAAGGCAAGCACCCCGACAGAGCAACAGGAACGTTTACATGGTACATTTCTTCTAACACTTCCCACTTCCAATCTACGGGAAAATCATCGACCAAAATCTTCACGAGGGATCTGGCGTTTTCTTCATCTCCCCGCTTGGCATAGAGGCCACCCATAAATATGAGTATGTTTAGGATACGCCTAGCCAGAGGAACATCCAGCTGGGAGAAGAAGTCGGCTAATGGGCGTGTAAGTATCCAGCTAGCAGCTAGAAACTCTTGCACAGACTTGTGAGGGAAGCTGTACATCTCTGTGCGACGCACACGAGCTACAGATAATTCTTTGTTCAAAAACCCTAATGACTTCGCATCGGTGCCTACGCCCAAACGATCAAGTTCTGTGACATCAAACCCTAAGATATTCTGACGGATGCCCTCGTAGGCCAGCCGGCAAACATCGGAAATGGACCTCTGGACTTCCTGAGGCAAGTCACTGCCATGCATCTGAATGTTATGTTTACTGCAATACCGACGAGCTATACAGTAGACTATTTCCTGGTAAAGTTCAGTCATGGAATCGGGCACTTTACAGTCCTGATCCTCCCATATGATACATAACAGAACCACGTTCAAGGGAGTAGTGACCAGTTCTTTCACAAACCGATTTGTGTCCAGAAAACTGAACACCTTTTCTATGAAAGGACCCTCTTTCTCTGGAAAGTACTTCCTTACAAAGTGTTTTGCATTTTCTGTTGTGAAACCTTTGTTCACCATGTGCTTTTCAGAATATTGTAGCAATTCTTGCAAGCACTCAGGCCTGGTTGTTATTAAGACACTGCTGTGACGGAAAATCCTCTTCGTTATAAGTTGCTTCAGGTTTGTGGATCGGACATCCTTTAGCTCATCATAACCATCGATAATGAACAGGATTTTACTTTGATTGGAAGAAAGATATCTAGAAAATATAAAATACCATTTAAATGTGTAAATAAAAGATATGAAACTCTTCCCTTTACAGACGTACGCAAACAGATTAATATAGCAAATAATAAAATCGGAACAACGCTCTTACAAAGGTAACATTTTGCAGGCTGCAATATGTACGTATCATGTAGCTTTGGAATGTTAGGTTAAATATTGATGACATAAATGATTAAACATTGCAAAAAACTTAAATTAATTCTACGCTAAAATATTTTTAAGACATTTTAAGCTAAAATGTATCAAATATGTTCAACAACCCTTTGAGTGCTTACAGAAGACAAAAAAGACAAAGATAACGCCAGCAAAAACACTGGTAATGGAAGACTGTATTCAAAGGTAAACATTAAGCATTTTTCAAAATAAGCATTTATAATAATGTTTACACAATGCTCCAGAAATACCTGAAAAATGCATCTTTGTCCATAACAACGTCAGACGGCAGAAGGTCTTGAAATAGAGCATCTTCTATCTTTCCTGTAATAAATATCTTCTCTTACACAGTGTTCAGATGGGCTAAAGCTTTGAAGTTAAAATTAAAAAAAAACTGCTTTGGATCTAAAACACAACACAAACAATTAAATTTTACCAGTGAGACCTGTAGCTAAAAGACATTTAGTCTCTCTCTCTCTCTCTCTTTCAGTGAGATGGCACTGTCCTTTATATACAGGTATACAGTTATCTGGTAGGCTACTGATGCATCTAAGACCAGCCTAAACTTATTAATGCTCATAAACCTAAAGCAAGTCTTAACTTTGCTCTGAATATGTTTTATGGATATTACATATAGCTCAATTTTTCAAAATAGCAGTAAAACCTAACATTTGTACACCTGAATTATTTTTTCTTCATTATATTCATAGCAGAGAACAACAAAAGACTTGCTAATGGTACAATAAGAAAAGAGCAGAAAAGAAAAAACAAAGGATGGTCCCACGAACTTCAAAACACAGCCAGGAAACAACAGACTTCTTTAAGTGTGAAATCAGATATCTTTGAACATGAATGTTAAACAATGGGTGATGGAAATATCTTGCCACCATTACCTATCAGGTGCCTGGCTTCAATAAGAAACAGGAACTGAAATTCATGTAGTTGGTATGGTTTTGCATCGTGGTTTGCCCAGTCGTAGGCCAGTTTTCTACACAGGGTTGTCTTTCCCGAGCCAGGCGAGCCGCTTACAACTAGGCGCTTTGGAACCTTCCCAGTTGGGCCTCGGAAAATGTCTTCCAGCTGAACATTTCTACAAAAAAAAATACAGAAGCTATGAATAAAAAAAATTCTCAATGAATGGCAATAAAAGGTAAGTGCATAAAAATATGAGTTAAAATATGTTAATTATTCAAGTAATGTCATACTATGTGACTAAGTGACTAATAAAGCAACTGTGAAATACTTTAGATTAAGCATGTAAGATTTTGAATAATTTTAATTAATTGCTTAACTTCAAGACCTGGCAAAGTAACACAAAAAAGGTTGTTGTTGTTGTGTGTGTGTGTGTCTGTGTGTGTGTGTGTGTGTGTGTGTGTGTGTGAGAGGGGGGGGGGTAAAGGCCACATCATTTTGCAGGTAGAAAGAGAGAGGGAACACAGTGAAAAGCAATCAGTCATACTGATATGATCACACCCAGTTCTAGACTGTCACTGTACCAATTTGCCTTACTCGGAACTTTTGTAGATTTCCAAATTGGTGAAAACATCAGCGACATGCAGTGAATTGAATTCCTCACACCATGGAATAGGGTTGAGCTTGGTGGTCGAGGTCAGGTACCAGTCCTTCAGTTCACTCTGAACTGTGTCTACAAGTTCTTGATGATCCACTGAAAATAAACATGCATACACTTATTTGCTTTCACGACCTTTGAAATCTATGTGGGAGCAATAGTACAGTAAGTTCTAACAATAAAAATATTATACTCATTTTGGAAATACTTAATTTGGCTAAAATCATGGAACATTTTTTTCTTCTTGATTTTATGTACCATGTATAAACTCATTTTAATCTTAAACTGATGTTAGCTGGCTTCAACAAATCAATACCTTTACTTCATTATGTTGATGTTTTCTTAGCTGTTTTCCATTTAGTTTTTTAAGTATTTGATGAAATTATAATTGAAACTTTTGATACATCATAAAAATATCTAAATTACCGGACTCATGGGATAAAAATCTTGTATTTAAGGATGAATATTGGAAAGATGACTCAAACAGGCAATTTTTCTCCTTCATAAGATTGGAAAGTTCAGCAAATTTATCCACTAGTATTTCTTTCAGTTCTTTTTCTTCAAGATACTGTCGTCTTAATTCGTTATGGTATGCCTCCTCATGTTCAGGGTCAATTGAAGATATCTTCAGCTCATCTACTTTTTCCTGACAGACTCCTAAACGTACAACAGCATCAGAAACAGTCTGCCAAATGTTGTCAAAGTCAGCATCTGAAATGTCAGTGGTTTGGGGATGTGCTATCTTGTTTCTTTGATGTTTAATTGTCACTGCATCTTGCAGGTGTTGAGGAACACCACTAGAGTGCGCCACCAGTGGGTTATCCCAACCTTTCCACCTTGGGGAATAATTATTTGGATCATAAAATTGTCGCAATAAAAAGAACAGCAAAGTAATGTCAAATGTATTGATATCTGGATCGGCGGCACCTGGTGGAAACAGTAATGTGTACTGAGGGTGGGCCAGAAGACGTCTTTGTCCTCTTTGGGGTTTGTAAAAACCTGTTAACAACTTTGCATTGGCTGTCAGAAACTGCTTCAATGTTAACCCCTGGAGAATGTGCTGGACAAAGAAACATTGCAGAGCTTCCGTTCCTAACTGTATTAACAAACTGCTCAGTTTGGCAAAATTCTTCATGCTTTTGGTTCACTGAAAAAACAAACAAAGTAACGATAAATTAAAATCATTGGTAACACAAACAGGGCAAACATATGGTGAGCAGCAAGATTGTAATGCATTTATTATTTAATAAATCCGTAAGAAGTTTCCAATGCTCCACTCGACCCTATGCTCCCTTCCTTTGGGTCTACCCATGCGGCTGCAGTACCTGTATGTCTGCCCCTGGCTGAAGGATAATATAATACTCATAAATTATATTCATGTTAATTTTCAAGACTTTAAAATTGAAGCATTTTCATGTCTTGACTACTAGTACTTAGTCTCTCATAGTTCTCTATAGAACTGCCTTGTTGTAATGACTGTTTTAACTTTCATTGTTTTTATTTTTTATCTTACGGGTGACACAAAAATTAACTGAAACAGAAACAGTACATGTACAAGAGGGATGATTGGAGCAGGGAATAGGGGGTATTATATTCTTTTCAGCATTGGTATAAGTAACAATAATCCGCCCCAGCATCTAATGATGTTTACTGTTACCAGTACTAGTATGGATGAAACGGTACAAAATGGTCTATGTAAGACTACCGTCCTGACCCCTGGGTCCATTAACTGCGAGTACTAACTGAGAGTGAAATGCTCTGCAGACTGAATTATAACCAAATAAAATGATACTCAACCATTCCAAAACTTAATAAAATGACATATAAGTTAGAGAGTGATATAATTATAACGGATTACCCTACAAAAGAGGAGACATTGCACGATTTCCGTGTTCTTCTCAATGGCCCAATTACGTATTTAGGTCAAATAATGTTCTTCAGTCTGTGGAGGTACGATCTCAGTGCTCAGTCTATTACAACTTGCAAAAAGAATAGTAAACTTGGATAAAATGCGATAGAGAAGATAAGACTATGGCTGTGTCATTCACCATTTGATTACCGAGTGAAATATGCTGTTCTCATAATGTTTGTTTTTATAAGTGTTTATTGTTATTATGTTATTTATATTATTTAATATAAAGTGAACTGCAATTTTTCAGGTATTTTTTCCAAATAAATTTGATAAATTTGCCAGAATTTTCCGACTCGCAACCAGGACTCAACATGTTCAATCCCAGCCTGTAATATCCCTTGACCCTAAAAATAAAATAAAATAAAATAAATATATATATAAATAAAAATAATACAGGCCATTTGGCAATTATAAACAAAGCGTAGCTTATAGGTCTTTCCCCCTAACTTCGGAAGCATACCTCCCTTTTCCCTCCCAAAATACAATACAGGTCTATAATAAATATAACGAGACAATCCCAGGCAATCTTTTTATCCTTTCGCTCTGCACACCAGACCTTCAGTAAAACAGCCAACTACTGGCTATTGTTTATATTCGTATAGTAGGCCTATCCACCAGAAATATATAGGCTATAGGCCTACTGGGTGACTAAATTAAATAAAATGATTTACAAAAACTAGGCCTAGTATAGGCCTACTAATTTCAAACTGCAGCCGTTTCGAAGATACTGAAATGAAATTCAGGATATTTAGGGAAATAGTGTTTTTAAGATATGCTGAAAATTTCATGACTTTACCTTTCTTAGTTTTGGCACATTGAAAAATTAAAATCTAAAGTCAAGGTGCCAAAACTGCCAGACGTTAGCACCTTTCAATAGTCAAATAGGCCTAACTTCAAGACCTGGCAAAGTAACACAAAAAAGGTTGCTATTTAAGATTTTAGTTTTTACAAAAATCAAATTATTTCAAAACATTTGAAGTTACTGAATTTTAATATTAGTTACTTTTTAGCCACCCGATACACTCGTAGTATTTTTAAATTATGCTTTGCTCTCCTACTGTAGCCTATATGTGTTTATTACCCTAAAAGACACACAGAAGAGGGGTGTCCCTCCGACATCTGCGCCTATCCTCGCTTAAGTCAGATAGGTCTACTAGCACGTAGTCAAGGTAAATCACCCCTTTGTCCATTGATAATCACACCTATCAGGCGACAATCGAGATCTAAGACACTTTACAACCATACGTTATGATGCTGGCGTGTGGTCGAACATTGGCAGTTAACTGTTCATGAAACCATCAATAGATAATAAAACGGTCTGGCCGCAACGTTTTGACCACAGGTCACTAATAGTCCGGACCGGGCCCTTCAGATGTCACTGGGAACTCACCTTTATAATGATCAAAGGGGCGAGGTTCCAGTGACCCCCTCACACACTTACACACACACACACACACACACACACACACACTCTCTCTCTCTCTCTCTCTCTCTCTCTCTCTCTCTCTCTCTCTCTCTCTCTCTCTCTCACACACACACACACACAATCTCAGGATGATTCTTCCACTACATTTCCGGAAGTCATGGTCCCACAGCACCAATAATGCGTGTACCATCCTCCCATTCCCTTATGCGTGATACTGCCCATCACCGGTCATTACAACGCCTTGGTCACCACCTTAGAACATTAAAGATATATCTACACCAATTTAACGCTATTGTTTAGAACGGAAACCGTGTAGGAATGGTCCCAAGGACAAGGAGTGAACATCAGAGGTCAAGAGTCGTCCCCGGAAATGTTGCCTGTCAGTTTTTGTTCAGTTCAGGTGATCGATATTGGCGGGGCTGCTTGTTTTTGTTATCATGCACATTTTTTGTAAGATTTATATGATTTATATATCCTATGACTGGACCTCTCGTTTTATTTGTTTGATGCGTTAATACATGTAACAACCCAACTTCAAAAGCAGAACAAACCACCTCATATCTCACCAACTCATTTTTTGTCAAAGTACTAACTTTGCTAATGTTTACATTTACCCTACCATAGAAAAACGACCTCACAATAAAGGCAATCGTATTACCCGGTATTTGTAAAATTAGGCCATGTATTTCCAAAAGAAATGAAATGGAGGTGGGCAGGACATGTCAAAAGAATGAAGGACAATAGGTGGACAATCAGGCTTACAGAATGGACCCCAAGGTATGGACAAAGAAAAAGCGGAAGGCCGGTCAAACGATGGAGGGATGAATTAGATGACTACTGGAAGTCTTGGAAGAAGAAGCCTTGGCCAAACTGGAAATCTGAGGCTCAGGATAGGAAACAATGGAAAAAGCATGCTGAGGCCTTCGTCCAACAGTGGAACACTATAGGCNGGCCATGTAAGGCCGGAGGATTAACTGTATATATAATTTACTTTTTGTTTTGTTTTGTTTAATATTGTATTCTGCTCGGAGACGGTTAAATAAAGAATCTATCTATCTATCTATCTATCTATTTCCAAAAGAAATGAAATGGAGGTGGGCAGGACATGTCAAAAGAATGAAGGACAATAGGTGGACAATCAGGCTTACAGAATGGACCCCAAGGTATGGACAAAGAAAAAGCGGAAGGCCGGTCAAACGATGGAGGGATGAATTAGATGACTACTGGAAGTCTTGGAAGAAGAAACCTTGGCCAAACTGGAAATCTGAGGCTCAGGATAGGAAACAATGGAAAAAGCATGCTGAGGCCTTCGTCCAACAGTGGAACACTATAGGCTCTAAATGATGATGATTATTTCCAAAGTAGAAGGACTAGATACAACATCTGAGTTGTGCAACAAGACATAATGAAAGTGTCGCCTGCAAGATGACTAGGAAACCAGCTATAATTGTATGAATAAATAAACATCAGCTCACAGGTGTGAAAACTCGAACACCACCTGGCCAGATAAAGTTTATGTCTTCCGACAAAGTCAGATATTTTTTCACGACAAGTCTTTATTTCTTCAAGAATTAAAGACTAACATACATTAGTCACCTTCAGTTTCAGAACACAATGTGAAAACTCGCTTCTCTCCTATACACATGTCTCTGCCGTTTCCAATTATACCTGCAGAGACAGGAGCACCGTAGAGAGGAAGGGAGGGGGGTCAGGGGGAAAGAACCCCCTTTTTGGCTGGAAAAGGTCTGGGTAAATTTGATCTAGGTAAACTAAGGTTTCATGATAAAAGGTTCACATTTTCAGAAAAGAACCCCCATTTTGAAATTGCTGGCTATTGGCCTGGAGAGTAATGTTGCTAATTCAAAACTGATCGAGTTTCTAGTGTCCTCTAGATCTTAAACTCATGGAGGCTTAAATTTAGTCCACAAGTCCGGTGACTCAGATTCACACCTGGTCATCTGCGGTTCTATTCTGTGACGAAGAAATAAGAGGTGTCCACAGTTTGGCGTTCTATTCTCTAGTGTCGCCTCCCAACACAGATGGCTATGTCCTGCACACCTTGTCCAGGCGTGGCGCGTATGGAAAGAACATCAAAACATTAGGCACTCGCAAGTGACAGAAAGGACGTCATAAATCATCGGTGTATACCTCTACACATCCTTTAAAAAGTTGCAAATAACACTAGGCCTACTACACCCTGTGCCCCGTACCGCCTATACCCAATACCTTTACACCGCACCAATGACGGGCTGTGTTCATGAATAAAACGTGGTTAAAATTAGAGGTAATGCAAGTGTTTATTTATTTATTTATTTATTTATTTATTTATTTATTGAGGGTAAAAACATGGTGAATATAAAATGTATCTTCCCCACGCTCCCTGTGTAGCAAAGGTGTTTCTACAGTAAAGTCATTCAAGGACTTTAAAGTGATATATCGGAACTATCAGATACTACTTTAAAGCGTCAAGTTTTGTAAGGACTAGTGCAACTGATTGCAATTTAATGACGTGTAGTAGAAAGAAGTCTTTCTATTTTGCGTGCATTTCCCATTGCATTTGGTTGACAGTTGTTTTCTAGGTTGTGACTTCACATAAGCAGATAAAAAAGCTCTCTTTCCTTTTTCTTTTTGTCGTGAAACTGATAATGTGTAGTTGCTTTATATCAGATTCAGTTTTGTGATTGTAAATAGCTTCTCAAGTTCTTTTAGAGTCGTTTCAGTCATTGAACCTTTGTTATTGATCCGCCGGATTCAATCTTTTGAGATTTGATCTTTCTCAGACGTTGCATTCAGACGTAATTTTGCTCCGACAGCGACAATTCACGCACGCACGCGCTCACGCACGTACACACATTCACACATCCACGGGCACGGGTTTAAGCACATGCACATCCAAAAACCCGCATCTATAGGCCTACGCTATTTATTTTACAGCATTATTTACGATAAAAATTATTTCAGTATAACTGAATTGCAACGTGAACTCTATCAAGACATTACCACTTCTGTTATGAAAAATTAATTCAGGTCTATTAGTCATATGGGGACGCCAACACATCATTTCAAGGGTTCCTAACCGCAGCTAAATATATGATATGCTTGTAGTGATAGACGACTTATTTGCCATAGACTACCAGTGTAGCTGTTAGAAATAAAGGTGTGTGTGTGTGTGTGTGTGTGTGTGTATACAAGTACACAGCACATGTATTCCGAGTCACGTTTTTCATTTAGAATAAATAAAATAAATAAAATTTCCACTTAACACCTTGGAGGGTCTTCTTATGTTCTAAAATCTGTTTTGTCATGTCGAGGAGTAAACAAAAATGAGAGACTTTTAGCGCTGAGTACGCACAAAAAGGGCCGGGGGATGAACCACTGCGTACACTGACAAGTTCGGGTACACACGCAAGTCGCCATACAATATACACGTTAAAAGTGCATGCGCCACCAGCGGAGAAGTATACTGCCTCTCTCTCTTCTACGTTTAAAGTGTGACGCTTTACTAACAAAGATACTTTACGTCTAGGGGCACCTACTAATCTTCATTTTAAACCAAAAGAAAGGTTGAAATCCTGACTGTTCCAATACCTGTCAG